GTTATCGTTCACATCTAAAATCGTCACCTGCATGTCAACAGCAGTCTTGAGCGCAGGAACTCCTTTATCCACAGCGAAGGCTTGCAGGTTATAGATGGCAGTATTTTCTCGATCGAGACGACGCAGAGTTCGTACGATCCCTGAGGTAGACTCGATGATGAAGTCACCGTCACCATCTTCTCCGCCCTGGAAGGTGTAAAAGACGCGACCATTGAGGCCAGAGTCCCGGTCAGTTGCGGAGACCTGCAGGACACTGGTGAACACGGGGATGTCCTCCATGACGGAGCCCAAATAGCGGTCGCGCTGGAAGACCGGAGAGTTATCATTAACATCGTTCACTAGGATCTCCAAGTAGGTGGTGTCAGATTTCTGCGGGATGCCGTTGTCTCGAGCTGTGATGGCGAGCGTGTAGGACACTTGATCCTCGTAGTCTAGCTCCATCTGTGTGGTCACGGCACCACTATCTGAGTCAATGTTGAACTGTGGGATGCTGTCGTCCATGATGTAGGTTATTCGAGCATTCTCGCCCGTATCCTCGTCTGTGGCGCTGATCATCACTACTGTAGTGCCCACAGGTCGGTCCTCGTTGATGTTGACGGTGTAATGCGAGCTCTGGAAGACCGGTCGGTGTGTGTTGGCGTCTGTGACGTTTACGTAAACTTTAGCTGTGTCGAAGCGTGTGCCGTCAGACGCGGTGACCGTGAGGACGTACTGTCTCTCCAGCTTGTAGTCCAGCGGTAGAGCGAGCGTAATCAGGCCTCCGCCGCTCTGACTGGTGATGGAGAACCGGTTTCTGGTGTTCCCGCTGGAGATCTGATACGTCACCACGCTGTTAATATCCTGATCGACTGCGGACACTGTGACCACACTTGTTCCGACAGCGGCGTCTTCATTCAGACGCATGTAGTAGGCCTTCTGTGTGAACTCAGGGTTGTTGTCATTGACGTCTAGAATGGTCATGCTAATGCTAGCAGATGAAGACATGGCTGGCGCTCCGTGATCTCGCGCTTCCACTCCGAAGTTATAAAAGTCCACAGTTTCCCTGTCCAGTTCTGCAGCTACGACGATCCAGCCGGTGCTGTTGTTGATGGTAAACGGGAAGTTGGCCGTGGTCTCTGTGAGGCGATATTCCAAGCGTGAATTATCTCCAGCGTCAGCGTCTACGGCCTGAATGTGGATGACAGAATATCCCACAGGAACGTTCTCCAACACTGTCGCCTGGAACGGAGTGCTGACAAATATCGGTGCATTATCGTTAATGTCCAGCACCTGCACTGTGACGAGGCCGCTGATGTTGGAGAGCGGAGGCCGCCCGCCATCTTGTGCACGAATGCGAAGTGTATACTCTTTATTCATCTCATAGTCCAGCTGGCTCACCAGGTCCAGCTTACCTGTCTGAGCGTCGATGTAGAACTGACCCCTCGTGTTCCCGCTCATGATGCTGAAATGAACCACGGCGTTATTTCCGCGGTCCTGGTCAGTCGCTGTAACCTGAAGGATCTCGGTGTTAGGTGTCAGGTCTTCGGGAACCTGAACGATGTAGCGTTTTTCACTGAACTGTGGCGCATTGTCATTGTCGTCCTCCACGACGATGTGGACCGTTGCTGTAGCGCTGCGAGGGCCTGGATCTCGTCCCTGATCGTTCGCTTCAACCATCAGCATGTAGGAGTCGACCGTTTCACGGTCCACCAGGCCTCGTGTGCGTATAACCCCAGAGCGGGAATCAATCTCAAACACGTCATTGGTCCCGTTGCTGTTCAGCAAGTGATAAAGGATGTTTCCGTTGATGGGAGCATCGCCATCTGTTGCACGTACAGTCAGGACCTCGTAACCGATCTCCAGGTTTTCTCGTACGCTCTCTTTATAGTCCTGTTGCTCAAAGGCAGGGTCGTGATCATTTGTGTCGCTGACTGTTACGGTGAGGGTGGCCATAGCCGTACGCCGCGGTGTTCCATGATCCACTGCCGTGACCCTGAACACGTGTGTGTCTTTTGTTTCTCTGTCTAATATCTCCACAGTGGACACGACTCCACTCGCTGGGTCAACAGCAAAGAGATTGTTGGACCGACTATCAAACAGGGCCTCTAAGACATATTCCAGCCTACCGGCTTCACCCTCATCCGGGTCAACTGCTTTTAAAACAACAACAAAAGTCCCAGCTGGCTGATTCTCTGGAACAGACACCTGATACATCGGCGGGTGAAACTGAGGGTTATTGTTGACATTCCTCCTCCTCCTGCTCAGCAGCCCAGAGTTTGAGCGCGCGGCCAGTCTGAGTACCTTGCTCAGGTGAGTTTGTGTGAACGGGCCGCGGCCCACACGCCAGTGCGCATGCGCAGCGCCCGCGCGCCCCCCGCAGCGCATCTGAAACTCCAGCAAAGAGTCGCGGGTGAAACAGAGCCGAGCGGAAGTAAACAGAGATCCGTCGGACATGTAAAACGCTGAAGTCCTGGTTACATTGCAGCGCGCCGGGTTCCCCGGTAACACATCAAACACCCGGAAAACTGCGCTGTGCGCCTCGCGGCACTCTGAAGACTCAGTCAAACTAATAATTTCCACATCCAACTAATAATTTCCACATCCAACTTGTTTTCCCGTTTGCGCGTGCTCGCGCAGTTCTTTCCATGAACGTGCACATCATACCGGCTGGTTACAAGGTGTCTGAAACCCGACGCGTCCTTACAGTCCACGACCGCGTACACGCTGAACGGGTTCGAAAGAACCGAATCGCAGTTCGGAGCGTTCGAGAGAGTCAGCACACCCGCGTCCGGGCGCAGGAAAGTCTCCGCGAAGCGCGGCAGGAGGAGCTGGTCCAGCGCGCAGGAGCCCCGCTGCAGCTCGGCGATCGCGGTGCCCGGTCCCGCATCCTCACTCACATGCACGGAGAAACAGTCCACGAGCCCCGCGAGCTCAAAACACCCGAAAACAAAGAGCAACAAATCCCCCTTCATCGCTCCTCGCTGCTGCTCCGCGGAGAATGAATTAAATCCAGTTTTTCCCCTCAAACTTGGCGTGCGGAGTCTCCATGCTGATCCACGCACTGCGGTCACGCGCACACACACTCACTCACTCACTCACACACACCTCCAAAGAAACAGCGAGTCCGGGGAGGGGGATCATTAACATAAACCTGATTCACACACACAGAAAAAAAGGAGGGGGGGGGGGGGTGCTGGTGGGGGGTGTCCTGTGGATGCAGTTGGGGGCAGATCTTAAAAGGGCAACTGCCCCACACAAACACACACTCTATCTGTCTCTCTCTTACACACACACACACACACACACACACACACACACACACACACACACACACACACACACACACACACACATCTGCCTTTCTGTGAAGCAGCCCTGAAGTTGCTGATTTATAAGTGATCAGTGAATGTCGGAGTAAACGGAAACCCTGAATATTCAGCGGGCTGTCAGATAAACAGTGGCTTGTTTTATTTCACTGATAGATTGACTGTAATCTCTGCTCATTCACCCTGTTAAAGGTGCAAAAGATCAAATCTCAAAATCACACTGGGATAAAATGTTAAAATATGACATTAAATTGTAGAAAATAACGTTATTATAAAGCGATTTAATCTATAATAAAACTTACCTTGATGTGGGCAGTTGCCAAACAAATATTTGTTGATTTCCTTATTTTCACTCACGTTGACACTAAAATGACCCTTAATAAACTCGAGCAAAATTTTTGTTTTGGGCTTCAGTTCTGTGTTGTGCGTGTGAGTTTTGTGTGTGTGTTTTGTGTGTGTGTGTGTGTGTGTGATATGCTAATTATGACAGCAGTTTCAGTCATGTGTAAATGATTTCAAAACTCCCAACTGTTTTCTTTTGGCGCCTTCTGCTGTCTGGAGCGTGTCTGCGCATGTCCGCCTCCCCTCAGAAGGCTCGCTGTAGTTTTGAATGAAGCTTTCTACACATTTAATAATTGAGTTTACTCGCTTTGCAATAGTGCTGAAAAACTTTTGCATATTTTATCTGAGTTATATGGTTATCTTTTTTTAAGCCCACTATAGCTTACACCAATGTATGTACTTGAGTTGTTTGATGTTATTTTGGCGCCTTCTGCTGTCTCGGTCGCGTCAGCGCATGCCCGCCAGCATTAGCTCACAGAAAGCTCGTTTTAGTTATGAATAATGAGTGGTTTTCTGTGGGGTATAATATTTCACCACAGCGCGTTTAGTATGAAAAGGCTCGCCCTGAGGCTTCTCCATCAGTTGCTGCACCTGCTCTGGAAAACTGAGCAGCTTCAGACCGCCGCTGGAGGCCGCTGTTCTACTGGAGGTATACCGAAAACACGGACTAGGGGTATCTCCGTATTTCTTCTGAACCTCTTACGTTTTATTTGACAATAAATTACCGATGGATTTCGTGATGTATACCCAAAGTGTTTTACTTTACGTACCTTTTATAAAAACAATCTAACCTGCCTAGCAACGCCTCAGAAGAATTCCCGCTCTTTTTTGAAGCAAACCGTCACTGAAAATCCAACTGAAATAACGAGTAGATCAAATTTCAGACATTAAAGTGAACTTATGAACTTTTAAATAAGCGTTAACAAGCCTCAGACATGTAGTCTAAACATTAACTAAAGAAATGATTAGGTTTAATCTATTTTAAGATGTGGAAGACTGAATAAGGTAAGTTTCTTCTTCCACTAATCCCTAATAAATGTGTTCCATGAGGATATTCCATTAAGGCGATAGAGAGAAGTGTCTTATTTATGTTAATAGGAGACAGGCCATTTTCAGCTTCCTTACACAAGTACTTACTAAATTTACGAGTGCATAAAATATTGATGAGCATGTGACTTCAGTATTTGAGAAGAAATTGACAGAACAGCCATAGGAAATCTCTTTAGCTTCATAGAAACGTGGTTTACCAGCATTTAATGTGATTTGACACTTGAAACAATGCAAACACCAAACATCTTTTTGTAAAAAGATATATTACAAAAGCGAAAGAATAAAAGAAAAACAATGCAGACATTGCAGTTTTTCCTGTTTTTATTGTTGCTGGAGGCCCTAATACATAAACCGTAAGCTTTACAAATAAAAAACAAAACAAACAAAAAAAATAAACTGGACAAATAATAATCCACCCTGAAGAAAAGAACGAAACCGTCTGACGCTCCCAGATGGGCAGAGAGAGAGAGAGAGACAGGAGGAACATGTTTGCTGCTTTTGCTTAATAAAACACAGAGATGTGCACGCGCACGCACACACACACACACACACACACACACACACACACACACACACACACACACACACACACACACACACACACACACACACTTATCCGTGTGAACTCAAGCAGAAAGTTTAATATTAACAGCGATATCAAGGTCATAATACATACATGTGTGTATATTCGTATTTATATATATTTATATATTTATAGAGCACCCAGCGGCGATATTCCTGTGACGGGTGGAGGGTGAAACTACACGAAAACTCCTTCTTCTGATGGCAGGAGAAAAGCTCCGTCCCCACATCACTGGTGACATCACTGAGAGCCAATCAGAAAGCTCCGCCTTAATACTACATGATTACAGACCAGAGAGACAGACAGGCAGAGAGAGAGAGAGAGAGAGACGGGTGCAGCTGAAAATACAAAAACCGAAAGCCTGCTCTCCTTTTTCGTTGTTTTCCACAGAGAGGTGTGCGGTGCAGACGGAGAGTGAGACTGACAGACAGACAGACAGACGGAGAGAGAGAAAGAGAGACGGGTGGTGATGTCTCTAGCTCTGCTGTTTGCGTTGGCTAAGCGCTTGAATCAGGTCGTTCTTCAGAGCCTCCTGCTTCGTTTTATCCGCCAGCGGCTGGACGCTCCTGAAAAACACCACACACACACACACACACACACACACCTTTCAGAACAGGTGTATTTATTCATCTTCATGGTCATACTGGTAAACATGAACAAACACCATGAATATTGGCTGGGTTTAATGCACTTCCCACATCTCTGCACTCATTAATAAACTCTTGAGATGCACATCATGCGAGTTAAAAATAGGAAGTTTCTACGAAATTGAGCAAAACAAATGAAAAATATTTTTTTTTAAAGAGAAAACTCTTTTTGAAATGAAATAATTAAAATACTGGAGTGCAGTTTTTCCTCCTTCAAAACTCTTTTTCATTTAAGGTTACGGTCCTTTATTTGCAGTTGTGAAATTAAACGTTGAAAGGCATCCTGACGCTTATTATAGTGAACTGAAACCAAATACACAACTAAACAAGAAGTATATTGCAATACCGCTATTAAAGTCAAATATAAATCCTCCTCTTTTCCCACATTTAATCCATTTCTATCTGAACAACTGGACTAGCAGAGATTTTCAGCTTTTGACCAGAAGAGAACGGCTGAAAACATTAATGTTCGTTCATTTCAATGCGCAGACCAAAGCACAAGAGTAATGACGGGCACTGTCGAGCGTTTCTACATGTACAAGTCCACTTTTCCGGGGCCGGGTCGCAGTGGCAGCAGTCTCAGGAGAGAACCCCAGACTTCCCTCTCCTCAGTAACTTCCTCCAGCTCCTTCAGGGGGATCCTGAGGCGTTCCCAGGCCAGCCAAGAGACAAAGTCCCTCCAGCGTGTCCTGGGTCTTCCCCGAGGCCTCCTTTTGGTAGGACATGCCTGGGACACCTCCCAAGGTGGACATCCAAAACAGATGCCCGAGCCACCTCAGCTGACTTCTCTCAGTGATCTACCATTTCAGCCGCTTGTGTCCGAGATCTTGTCCTTTCAGCCATGAACCAAAGCTCATGAGCATAGGTGAGAGAAGGAACGTAGATTGACCAGTAAATCGAGAGCCTTGCCTTTCGGCTCAGCTCCTTCTTCACCTCAGTGGACTGATACATTGACCGCTTTACTGCTGCCGCTGTACCAATCCGCCTGTCAATCTCAAACTCCATCCTTTTCTCACTCATGAACAAAACCCCAAGAGACTTGATCTCCTCCTCCTGGGGTAAGGACTTTCCTGCAAGAGATGGCAAACCACCTTTTCCAGGTGGAGCAACTTGGGCTCGGACTTGGAGGGGCTGAATCTAATTCCAGTGGCATCACACTCGGCAGCAAACCGCCCCAGTGCATGCTGAAGGTCCATGATTGATGAAGCCAACAGAACAACATCCTCTGCAAATATCAGAGATTAAATCCTGTGGTTCCCGAACCGGACCTGCTTCAGCCCAAGGCTGCACATGGAAACTCTGTCCATAAATATTGTGAACAGAATTAGTGACAAAGGGCAGCTCTGCCGGAGTCAAACCTGCACCGGGAACAAGTCTGTGTTACTTCCGGCAATGCGAACCAGACTCCTACTCTGTTCATACAGGGATGAGACGGTCCTCAACAGATCGCCTCTGACCCCATACCCCCAGAGCACCCTCCACACGAGGCGCACGGTCGAATGCCTTCGCCAAGTCCACAAAACACATGTGGACAGGTTGGACATACTTCCATGAACCCTCGAGCACCCTGATGAGGGTATAGAGCTGATCCAGTGTACCACGGCCTAGACGAAAACCCGTCGAATGTTCCAGGGTGAAAATTAAAGACATTATTTTCTAAAAGTAAAAAGTTAAACACTCTCGGCTGAACTGGGAACGCCGTGGTATCACCTCGGAGGAAGTGTCTGGGTCTGGGGTTCTCTCCTAAGTCTGCTGCCCCTGTGACCCGGCCCCGGAAAAAAGTGGATTAAAAAGAATGAATGAATAAAGTCAAACACTGCGCCCTGTGGATATTCCACTCATGCACACGTATACTTATATACGCCTGAACCGCATATGCTTAAAGGAAAAGCCAAGTCTGCTGAACAGCGCATGTGTTCCTGCTGCTTCAATAGCACTACTGTGTTGTCATGGTGAAACGACACCGACTCGTTTACGGTCAATAATTTAAATTATGCAGTTAAATTCAAAAAGTCTTATGAAATGAGGTTATAGTATTTAATAAAATAATAAATCAATAAATGAATAAAAGCCTGCGGTTTGTGGTAAAGTGAATCCAGAATTTTCCCTTTTTTTTTTCGGCCGCACCCCCACTGATGTCATATCTCGCCGTTATGATGCGTACATATAAGTACAGCTGCATTAGCACACACAATATTTAGTGTTGATATAGAATACATATATTCAGTGCATTAGAGAGGGTTCCCACTCCTTCAGGAACGACAGATTCAAGCAGCGTTCATTATAAATCAAGCACTTTTATAGTTCATCCCCAGCACATGTAGCGTCATGACAGTCTTACAGTACTTAACATTTGACTCAGACTTAATACTTTATGTTGGTCATTTTAAACGGTCCTGCTCAAAGAGCTCAAGACTGGTAATATTGTAAAGCGGTCATTGATAATATGTGCATGTGTCAGTATCAGTGTTCAAGATTTACACTTGACAATAGAGTACAACTGTTCACATCTAACCATAAATCTAATTTGAATTCAAGAAGCATGGGAACACTTATTACATTACACACACAGTTTGAGTGTCGGCAGTGTCGTGTTTTTATTGGCGATCATGCTAGTTTGATGTTGTGTAAATGTCATGCTTCACTCTGAAAGCCTAGTGCAGGAACATATTAAGTCACTCTTGCACTCCACGGTGCATGCGGTTAGTGTGTGTGTGGCAGGCAAACACTCGCAGGCCCGTCTGACCCTAGTCAATGTAGATCTGACGCTGCGTCAGAACCTGAGAGAGCTCCCGCTGCAGCTGACGATACTTCTGATTATCAGGAAGAGACTCGATAGACCTGATGCACAGCCCAGACAGACACACACACACACACACACACACACAGAGGAAAATCAAGAAGAAAGTGACTGGTCTGATGGCAGAGGAACATGTGGAGATGAAGAGCAGATGAGGAACATGGAGAAAACACCACACTTTCTGACTGACCGAGCAAACACTCGCTAATCAATCGTTCGTTCTGGCTAGCAGTGCACAACACAACCTGCGGAGGACGATTCACAGACAAATGACTCCAATGAACCAGCTCTTTGAATCATTCGGTCTATATGACTCTCAGATGCAACTGTCTGAATCAGTTTACAGAAACTAACATCTGCAAAACAAAACAATAAGAAGAATATAGTCACGTTTAATATACAGACAGACACGGAGAGATAGACACGGATGGACAGATGGAGATATAGATGGATTGATGAATGAACGGACAGATGGATGGATAGATAAATTGATTGATGGATAGATGAATGGATGGATACATATAGATAAATTGATGGATGGATGGATGGATGGATAGACAGAAAGATGGATAGATAGAAAGATAGATAGATAGATAGATAGATAGATAGATAGATAGATAGATAGATAGATAGATAGATAGATAAGATGGATGGATGGATAGATAAATAGATGGACGGATAGACGGATAAATGGACGAATGGATAGATGGATGGATAGAAAGATGGATGGATAGACGGATAGATAGATGGATGGACAGACAGGTAGATATTGAGTTTGAACTGAAGGAAGTAAACAGAGATTCAGAAGTTCAGAGAGAATGAATCAACACTGATTCTGATTCTGTTGGACTGTGATTCAGTGCCTGTCTGGATTCATTAACATGACAGTAAATCTGCAATCGCTGCGTAATGATTCACTCAGACGATTCATTTAGAGTCGTTCAGAAGAGAAGCATGTGTCTGTGTTGATGAGTGGATTAGACTGACTCAAACGATTCACTCAGAAGAGATTCACTCGCTGTTGTCTGAACTACTGTCACTGGAGAAACAGGCAGCAGACTATAGTGTGTGTGTGTGACGCAGGACTATACCAACATGGCGTCTGCTGAACGTGTGTGTAAATCTACATCAACATTAGCTGACGCTCAGGAAAGAGTCGCTGTTGTTTGTGTGATGTCACTGAACGTCATTAATTATCATAAATACACACACACACACACACACACACACACACACACACACACACACACACACACACACACACTCTCTCTCTCTCTGCTTCACGACTTGACTCTAGGCTCATTCTGACAGACCTCATCACAGCCACTGCTTTAAACCCTCCGGATGAAGACATTGTGTGTGTGTGTGTGTGTGTGTGCTACATCAGCTGCTAGCACGTGGTCGCAATTTTACCTCAGGCCGTTGACGATGTCCTTGGTCTTGCCGAAGTAGATCTCATTGAGAGTGGAGCGGATCTTGTTCTCCATTTCCTGACACACACACACACACACACACGTTCAGCATGTATGACGACACATGTAAGCTACACTAGCGTTAGCGTGTGAACTCACCTCCACCAGGCGTCCGATGTTAGCGATGTGAGGAGAGGATTCACTGACAGTCTCGTCTTTCTCCATCTGCGCGCACGCACACGCACACACACACACACACATACACAGACACACACACACACACACACACACTCTTGTGATGTGCCGCTTATAGCCGAGAGCACCAGTATCCAGTTACTGAACTGTGTGTGTGTGTGTGTGTGTGTGTGTGTGTCATTTACTGTGAGAATGTGTGTGTGTATATATATGTTGTGTGTGTGTGTGTGAAAATGATTGTGTCTATATACACACACACACACACACACATGTATGATTGTGTCTATACGCGTGTGTGTTCTGTGTGAGAGAGTGAGCGCGTCTTTATGTGTGCGGGAATGTGTGTGTTTATATGTATGTTGTGTGTGAATGTGTGTGTGTGTTTATATGTATGTTGTGTGTGTAAATGTGTGTGTGTGTGTGTGTTTATATGTGTATGTTGTGTGTGTGTGTGTTTATATGTGTATGTGTATGTTGTGTGT